GAAAACATATTTTTTTTTGTTACGTCCGACAAATTTATATAAATTTAAAATTTATTTTATTTATCACATACTCTACATTTTTACACAAATAATAAAACTCAATTTGACACTTCAAATAAATTGAAATAAAACATTTGCATTAGTTTCAATATTCTTATGCAAAATTGATCAAAACATATGACATTGAAATATGTTTAGTAAAAATTTAATTTTATTACATTTATACACAATAAATTTCATTTTGTACGTTTAGAAATATTAGAATACGCGTCTAAATATTAAGATCGATTAGAAAATATATTTAAATATTTAATCCAACGTTTAGCGTATATCAAAATCTAGTAATATATATAAAGAAAGAGAGAAATATAAAACAATTTGTATGAAGGCAACCGAGAAACATTTTCCATTTTTCACTTGTTCGTTAGGTACTTAGTGAACTTCTTAGAATAAAACTTAGATAATAACAGAAAGATAACCATATTCTCTAGAGTTTAGTTTTAAAAACATTAACGTAAATGTGAAAATTGATTAATATAGGTGGTTAGTTCTTAATCGCTAAATAACATCACTTAATGGAAAACAGTTGCCTAATATTCGTTGTGCATCTCAATCAAAGACATTATTAAAACGAAACAAAACAAAAATAGAAAACTAGCAAGTAGCAACCGATGAGACCCCTAGTGTTTTTTTGTTTTTCCTATTTTCCCCACCTATTATTTTACTAATAATTGTAAAACAGATCCATGCAAATTAATTTTTCAATCAATATATTGTCCCGGCCACGAACGGAAATAAAGAGAGATTAACTATGCTATTTGAGATCTATGGATTCGAAATTTGTTTAGTCAAATACTAGACTGTTCTACTAACATTAATTAAAGTTTGAAAAGAAATCCATTTCTTGCAATTGAATTAATCAATCAAGGAGAAAGAAAAAACTAGGAAGACACTGAATCTTTGATGGTTGGTTATGTAGGGTCGGATAAGAGTAAATGCAAACAATTGGGGTCAATTTCAATTTTCTAAAAGTTAGCCTTAAAAAGCTCTGTTATCTTTTTCTTTATTTTCTTTTTATAATTATATAATGGGTATGTTCTTGAAGTTCTTATTCTGTTATTTGTTTTCCCTTTCACATAACAGGTTATTTTTTGTGGTTTTATTTGAGAAAATTACTTTTTTGTACAAAATATTTTAGCTATCGCTTAAAGTTTTCTCTAGGAGCTTCTTTAACAGAATGTAAACATTTCTATCTACAAGTTTACAACGATTTTTTTTATAATTTTTAAAAATATTGTTTATCATCTACAACTCACACACACTACCAAATCTAATTTTGGTTATGACAAAAATGTTAGATATACTGAATGTTTTATAGTTAGGACCAAAATACATTTGTTTTTAATTATGCAACTAAATTTATTTATAATTGGATGAATCTTACAAAAAGCT